GATCAATTTTAACCCCTTGAGCATGCTGATTAAGTAACTCAAAGAGTGTGTTATCCTTCTTTGTTTCCTCTGCAACTTTGATCAACCAGTTACTGATAGGTTCTGACCAAGCCATAAACAAGCTCCTAGACAAAGCATCAGCAAGAACATTTTCTTTGTTGTTGTTCAGGAGTTTGTAATGTTTGTTCCAATAATTCTTTAAGGCTCTTTTGGTCTGTCCTTATAATGAATTTGTGGTCAAGTAAGTAATACCGAAATTTAGTCAATGCTTTTGTAATTGCATAGAATTCCCTTGCATAGGTAGATTGTTTTTGCATTCTAGGAGATAGCTTCTTGGAGAAATAGGCCACTGAATGGTGTGCTTGTCTCAAAACAGCCTCGATACCGGAACTTGAAGCATCAGTCTCCAAAATAAAGGGTTCCTTGAAATTAGGAATGGCCAATACTGGTGTTGAAGTCATAGCTTGTTTGAGTTGCAGAAAAGGTTGCGAAGCTAATTTAGAGCAATGAAAAGATTTTTTCTTCAACAAATCCGTGAGTGGGCCAGCCATAGACGCATAATTCCTTATGAATCTTCTGTAGTAACCTGTGAGGCCTATAAACCCTCTGAGTTGTTTGAGAGACGTAGGTTGTGGCCAACTATTAATAGCTTCCAATTTTGAAGTCTTCATAGCAACTCCTGCAACTCCTGCTCCAGATAACACATGGCCCAAATAATCAATTTGGACAACTCCAAAAGAACATTTAGAGAGCCGAGCATATAGTTTCTGTTGTTGGAGAGTTTGCAACACAAACTCTAAATGCAATAAATCATCATGCCATGTACGACTATACACCAATATATCATCAAAAAACACTAAAACAAATTTTCTCAAAACACCTTTAAAAACCTCATTCATAAGGCTCTGGAATGTAGCTGGAGCATTAGTGAGCCTTAATGGCATNATGTTTTTCTAAGAAAACAGGTATTTTTTTCTCGAACAAAAATTGTAAGGAGTGATATTTGTATGTCCCTGTTTGCCTTTCACAAACATTAATTTGAACGCCCCCACATACCTAAAACTCGCTAATTAGAATGCGTGGATCCTTTTATTTTGTGAAATTAAAATATCTCTCACTCCTCTTTTCTTGTTGCACCAATTACTAGCTTGTGTATGAGGTAAAAAATACCCAACTTTTTTGTATAAAAAACATAATTAATATTTTACTTTTCTTAATTGTTTCCAATTTAATAACTCATTTCATTAAGTAAACTTTTAGTATTAAAATTATATTATTAAATTGTACCCAAATGAATGTAAACCTTATTTTATAAATTAGTTATGTAAAATTGAATTTTTTAATATGATAAAAAAATTAAAATTTCGAGATTTGTCATATTTGGAGTTTATCATGTCATCTTACCTATCGTAAATATTTTGTCTCATCCTAAAAACTGTGTTGAAATTCTCCTATATTTTAAAAATAAAACCATTTTTAAAATATCCTCTTGAGATAAACTAAATTTTCAGAATATAAACGAGTTTGGTAAATTTTTATATTTGAAAAGTTACATGCTCATTTTTCTGAGGTAAATCAGAATACTTGGTGTGGCCGTACATACAGAAAGGAAACATGCATGTACAGTACAAAATACAAAATGCGAAGGATAGTTCGATATAATTGAAGTGGTAAATGTTTGTCAGTTCTGGACAACGTAACGAAATTGTCAGTGCTGTTGTTTTTGATCCTTAATGAGGCACAGATTTACATGTACTTCCTTTCTTTCACCCATCAAAAGAGGGTCAAATCTTCCCCCCCACTTCGTTGAGGGCTTCTTCAGGCACATGGCTGTTTCATTTTCGTTAATGCATCATGTCTCTCTCTCACTCCATATACTGTCAGACACACCCATAATTTCCAACCTGTGCTACCTTTTTGCTACGTGGGCCATTCACCTTTTTCCAATATCACACACTCTCGATCTTATATAACACCTCTTCCTCATTCCTCCTCTGCATGCACGGACACCACAATAACATATCAGCTTAATATATATCTATGTGGGTGTCTCAACAGCTCTCATTATATATATAACTTGATCAGTTCGATATCCTCTTCTTCCTCGTCCAGTTAAAATCCAAGTCGATGGCTAGTTCTATGGCTCTTGCGTGTTACATTGTTGTTTTGATATCGATGTTGGGTTTGAGAGGTGCAGAGGCACAACGTGCCTTCTTTGTGTTTGGGGACTCGCTTGTAGATAACGGCAACAACAATTATTTGGCAACTACGGCTCGAGCTGATTCTCCTCCTTATGGCATTGACTACCCAACCGGAAGAGCCACTGGCCGTTTCTCTAATGGCTTGAACATTCCTGACTTCATTAGTGCTATTTTTAAACTTCTTTTTCTTAATTATTGCTTCAATCTCTAGTACTGTGTCTGCATGCTTGCTTCAATATAATGTACTAGTTATTGTTCTCATATTCATCTATGCGCTCTTTTGTAGGTCAAGCTATTGGGGCGAGCGAATCCACATTGCCATATTTAGATCCTGAGCTCAACGGGGAAAGATTGCTTGTCGGTGCCAACTTTGCTTCTGCTGGAATTGGAATTCTCAATGACACTGGAATCCAATTTGTAAGTCACATCACTTGCTTCTGTGTTCCAGCTGTGTTGAAAATCCATGTTCAGAGTGTCCAAATTTTCAAACATAAATATATTCTTTAATTCAATGATTTATTTATGTACAAAAAATTAGCTGGGAAGATTTGAATCATATATACATGATATGGTTATATATTAATATTATGTCTAGTATCTCCATTAGCTGAGATGGATAGTGATTTAACAAGACTGGTGACATTTTTATGTGAAAAGATTCCCATGTTTTTCTTATAATTGACTAAATAAGAAAGAAAAAAGGTGGAAGAAAAAACGAAGGAGGCATTGACTATATATAGAGATAGATTATTTACAATATTGAATTGCAGGTAAACATAATCAGAATATACAGACAGTTACAGTACTGGGAAGAATACCAGCAAAGAGTGAGTGCTATTATAGGACCTGAAGAGACTCAAAGCTTAGTAGAAGGAGCATTAGTCCTCATCACTCTTGGAGGAAACGACTTCGTCAATAACTATTACTTGGTGCCTTACTCTGCAAGATCACGCCAATACAATTTACCAGACTATGTCAAGTATCTTATCTCTGAGTATAAGAAAGTCCTCTGGGTACGCAATATATTCTCTTCCATCAATTTTCTTTATTAGCTAGCTAGGTCTTTCTACTGACAATGGTCAACAACACTCATCACACGAAACAATATACACGTATCAGTACGTGTTTGGTGTTAAAGTAAATTAAGGTTTCATTATGATAAGCAAAATATTATGTGAAATTGAACATGTTTGTGTTATATATTTCAGAGGCTATACGAGATTGGAGCACGTAGGGTGTTGGTGACGGGAACTGGTCCTTTGGGCTGTGTGCCGGCGGAATTGGCCCAGAGAAGCGCAAACGGGGAATGCTCGGCCGAACTACAGCGTGCGGCGGCGTTATTTAACCCTCAACTTGTTCAGATAATCAGAGAACTCAATAGCGAGATTGGTTCTGATGTCTTCGTTGCGGTCAACACGCAACAGATGCACATTGACTTCATCAGTAACCCTCAACGATATGGTAAATAATATGCTACTAATTACCCTATGCATACACTGGCTTCATTAATGAACATGGAGTAGAGTAGGTGTACAATATTAAACTTCTGCCAGATTGCTGAAATAAACACATGATTTCTTAAAATTAATACGTGAAATGTGCTATAAATATATATGTCTAGCAATGTTCAAAGCCATTTTTCTAAAAGTAATATAAGAATGCAAATATTAAAGTCACGTAACTCACGTACACAGAGGAGACTATTTAATGGGGATAAAGTTATATAGGTAGATGCCATTAATATAGGCACGGGCCCATGCATAATCATACGTGGGGGAGAATAGTTTCCCTTTCCTTTTCCTTTCTTTCTTTGTTAACCCTACTTTGCTGCATATCAAAAAGCCAGAGTTAAAAAGTTACGAGACGTTGTGCTCAGAATTGCATGATATGTAGTTCATGATGAACTCACACATACATATATAGAAAGTTTATCTTGACGACATTTTAGTTTTAAGAGTAACAGTGATTGTAAAAGTTTATTTATTAAAGGTGGTGGATGAACATGCAGGATTTGTTACATCAAAAGTAGCATGTTGTGGTCAAGGAAGGTACAATGGCATTGGACTGTGTACTGTGGCATCGAACTTGTGCCCTGATCGTCGCGTTTATGCGTTTTGGGATCCTTTCCATCCCTCAGAAAGGGCTAATGGGTTGATCGTTCAACAGATACTGTCAGGCACATCAGATTATATGTATCCAATGAATCTCAGCACCATTTTGGCTATGGATTCCAAGAAGAACTAGATCGTCCATCATCAAGGAGTTAAAGGAATCTGGTTCATCTTTTGTGTCTACCTCTTATAGTTTGTGATAAATATGTATTGAAATTTGGTGCATCTACAATTAAGTTATAGTGTGTCAGTGAATAGTATTTCATAATGTTGTGTCCTTCTTCTCTTGGGAAGTAGAAAAGAAACAGTGCACAATAATCGAGTGATTTTTAATCTTCAATAATTCCTTCTTTGTTTCTCCTATAAATATTTTATTTATTACATGTGTTTGAGTTTAGAAAATCGTATTGTTATCACAGAAATATCTGAACTTTTCATTCACGAACACAGTCTAAAATTTCAGTATCTAATTACGTGTAGTCAGAAAGAGAAAAATGATATCTATGAATTATTTCCTTAAAGTTTAATGTCTATATTTTTTGTTTTGCCTTGCTCTCCGCTGAGTAGAATCAGGCATGAAATGATAGATACCCCATCCGCCTATGAATATTACTTAACCCAGGACCACAAAAGAGGGTCACTGAACAAATTAAGCCAATCTTGTTTGGGTGGAATTTTATATTTCAAGATCAATTGATTACAACATTTAGTCTTTCTGTTGCCCAGAATGTCTAAATTTGATTTCTTAATACCTAAATTTTACTTCTTAATATTTGTTTATTAAGATTAAATCTTAAAAAAAAATATTTACTACTATTATTTTTTTATTGACTTTTCTTTAACGAATAATTCAAATTAAACTTTTTTTTTCTTCTAAATTTTTTCAACTATAATAGACCTCAGCCTAAACAGGACGAGACCGTCTCAACCCTCCATGCTAGAAATAATGTCCATCCAACAAACATGATAATGGATAACTAATGGAAAATGCTAATCACAAATAAGAAAACCTTAAGAGGGAGTATACCTTTGAATTCTAAGTCCATGAACGACAAAAACTCATCTAAATAATATAAATAACCAC